CCCACCCATCCACCCACCCATCCACACCCCTTGTTTTACAGCCGACTGCAGACAATTTCACAAAGCAAATAAATATTTATTTTCACAAAACGAAACCAGAAATATCTTCCCAATATCAATAAAAACAATGTTATATTTCCTAATTATTGAAGAACCACGCTCTTGCAATTTTTTTGTAATAAAAACCACTGAAATCAACACTCAGTATAAATGCCCTCCCCCATAATGGTATGTGCGCAATACACATATAGAGACACGTCTACATTTTGCCACGATTGGTGCGCGCAAACCGATGTGATTAATTCACAAGTCCCTGTGTATTTGTCATGAACAACCAGTGATCAAACAGTATTGGACAAACTCAAACAGACAACACGGAGATATACAATATGTATCTAGCTTATTTGAAATTCTAGTTGGCACGCTGTATCGTTACGTACCGTAATGTACGCTGCATATAAGTTACTGCACTTATACAGGACAATACAGGTGCATCATGGAGATCATGCATCAGGGAGATCAAAGTCGGCTATATACGTGTAATTACATACCTGTACAAGATATCTACCTGTCCGCATTCTCATATTACCTGTGAGATACGTCCGTCGTACACATGAAAGTGGGTGACCTGAATTGTCCTGTATATATGTAACGTACCTGTCCCCTCCCCCACTTGTGTTCTTATTATACGACTTCCGCGAAAACACAGACGAGGGGTCAAAGGTCATACAGGTAAAACGGAACAGACCACGCACCGGTGTCAGGCCAAAATAAAACCCCGTTTGTTTTTATCCACATGTAAGATTTATAATTAAACCACAGGTCGTTCATATTGATGACATTTAAGAGCTGTTTTTAGTAATTCGTATTTAGCTAAATTGCATCTGTCATGTTTAACTAATGTAATAGTTGATTTATACGTAGAAAATATTTTAAAATCATATTAACAGTGTATCACTTTCATTTAAAAACTTGTTTTATTTAAACATACAATACATACTACGGTGTCTCAATTTATAAATAAGAAATGAAAAAAAATCACAAACCTGACAGTAGATTCCTCGATAAAACCAGCCCTCTGTGTCCTGGAGTTAGCCACACTGGTCAAAAACTGTATTAAAACTGGGACGGACTTGACGTTGTCCGTTTCATTTTCGGCTAAGTTTGTAAGCACTTTATGCACGTACTCTCTATATAAGGAAATACCAAAATAAAATCTCTCCAGCGAGTATACTTATGTTCAATAATCACATACACCACGCCGAGATTGTTTGTAATTATTGTTACGAGTAACTATTTTAGGGACATTAGCGGTCGATAATTACTTTTATAAGCCGTGTGTTGTAATTAACACGTTAAGATAATAACTATCAATTACGTATCAAATTATCACCATTAATTACGAATGTAATTAGGGGCACAATGACATACGTCCGTGTCCGGCGTGATAATTGTCCTCAATACAAAAAACACGTGTGATTTGACAAGCTTTATATGCATTGTATATTAAGATTAGAAATATTTCCATTCCTGTAGATCTTCAACTGAAATTATTTGATGCACTTGTGTCACCTATTCTATTATATGGATGTGAAATCTGGGGCTATGAAAATACAAAAAGTATCGAAAAAATACATTTACAGTTTTGTAAGGAAATTCTTAACATTCGGAAGAGCACCCCAAATTATATGGTATATGGTGAGTTAGGAAGGTATCCCCTAGAAATTGAAATCAGTGTTAGAATGGTTATGTTCTGGCATAAGCTTATAACGGGTGGATCGAAATTATCTAGTGTAATGTATAAGTTAATGTACAATTTGCACCAGAATTCTTTATTAAGTTTTAAATGGTTAACGTATATACGAGATATCTTAAACAATACTGGATTTAATAATTTATGGACTTTCCAAATATCATGTACAATTAATAGACAATGCTTGAAAAATATCATTAAGCAGAGATTATGCGATCAATTCATTCAAAGTTGGTTTCATGATGTTAAACCTCCTCGCGAGGGCAAGTTTACTCCTTATTCAAATTTCAGTTTAATATTGAACCATATCTTTTAAAGCTAAATCGTAATGAACGAAAAGTAATATGTAAATTTAGAACATCAAATATAAAATTTCCTATAGAAACAGGAAGATGGAATAGAGTCCCACGCGAGGAAAGGTTATGTCCCCTATGTAATTACTGTGTTGGGGAGGACTACCACTACTTATACCAATGTACTAATGTATCTGTTGTAGCTCTTAGACAACTTTATATACGAACTTATTACTATGTCAACCCAACTTATATCAAAATGAAAGGAATGTTCTCAATTTGTAACACGGTACTCTTAACAAAAGTAAGTAAATTTATACAAAGCGTAATGAAGCTACTTAATATCTAAAATAAGTTAGCTAAAAGAAATATTGAAATGGGTTGTTATTGTATAAATTGTATCATGTGTCATATTATGTGAGTACTATGTCCATCAATGTATACTATGTATTATGTGACCTCTTGTTACGCACGTATACGTGTGGCGTGAGTGTAAAAATAAAACTTGACAACTCTGGTCTGGCATGATATGCTAGTTGACGTGGGTTCGATTCCCGGCGTCGTTGCAAACTTGTGTCGGATCTCGTAACATGTTGTACAATAGTTTATATCTTAATAACATTTGCTCAAAATATCGTTCTTCGCGTCGCAATTTGTGTTATATTGTTTTATGTGACTTAAAATGACAATAATAATCGGAACAGGAGGAGAGACAACGCGGAGTTACAGAGGAAGAGGCGGAAGAACTGTTCAAACATGTTTAAGAACTCTGGACATAGCTTTCAAAAGAATATGACTGAAAACATAATGACCGTACCTAAGTTCTTGGCAGTACAACAGAAAACAAAATATCCCAAATCTGAACCATACATTGACACAGTTGTAGACAAGACAGAGCAATGACTCGACTGATTATATTAAACAATAGAAACACTTGACACTATTGAATTATTGAAAATGACGGCGGTAGCAGCAAATTTATAATAACATTATGAAACAATGCAATGTTTAACATTTCGAATAAAATATTATACCTCATCTTTGTAACAACGTGCATGATTGGATGATACTGGTTACATGTCGGGGTAATAAAACATCATGTCTCCCTCATGCGCTCGAGTTTCCCTGACCAATTGTTTCCCTTATTCGGAGGCTCTCTAAAAAATAATCCGCAATAACCACCACACCAGCCTAGTTCAGTTCCGAATGACTGTAGCAGTCATCTCTACCATTATGTTGTAGGTGTTTTTATCGGCATAATGAAATATTTGTTGTCCTTAGTGTAGGGAAACATGGTTCTTTGTTTACCCGAGGGCGAATGAAACATGATTAACATCGGAGAAACATACAATCGTATTTCCCTACGAGAAGGGGAGTAAATGTATAACATACATTGTTAGTTTTGTATGTCAATTAATAATGTATTTATTTTTTATTAATGGTCACCAATAAAATATAATCATGGTAACTTTGTTCTCTGAAAGTGGAAAAGGGAGAATCCACAACACAATTTAACGGTGGATTAGTGAAAAAAAGATTACCGTACCCAACTTAATACACGAGTTTTATCGACCAAAGTGTCATATTAACGATATGGGTTTTCATCAAAGATACCAAATACGATTAAGCTATACAAGAGGACTTGCTACAAAGCGGATAGGGAATGTGGGTTACAAGATCATTTTATCAGACATAGCTATGCATGTTCGTATGATACATACCATTACTACCAAAACTTCAATTGATGTCGTTATTATTGAACAGATACTGAATTTTATTTGTATTGATGTAAGCGAATTATTGAACAGATACTGAATTTTATTTTCATTGCCGTAAGCGTCTATTTCCTTAAATGTCACTAGCTTGCTATGTCTTCTTTTTAAGCAGTTTATATTTATTTTCACATATTTTTAGCATTGTCATTTAAAAACTTCCCTTTTAAAATTCTCCTGAATTTTGTATGATAATTTTCTTCAACTATGAACACATAGGTCCATTAATACTACCTCCTACATATATATTTGAACATGTAGGAAAACTGACATTGCCGTCACTAGGTAAGTTTTATTGTGTACATACATGTTTAAAATTAACATAATAGTTATTTATTAGTCAGAGAGATATTGCTTTACTTGCAGGAAATAGTTACATGCTAAAAAGCTAGACAGACAAGCGACCTCTGTTGTAGCAAGTGCACGGGGCAAAAACGGATCCCTGTCACTGCGACATTTGAACAGGTACACACTCTCTCAGAACTTTATACGTCAATAAGGTAACGTTTTATTACAGCGAGTGACAGCAGATTGACCTAATGTTTTGACTTGTCTGGTTATTAGCACTGCATGATAACCTGTTGCATATCAAGCTCATGTTTCGGTAGCGGGGCAAGAAATTCGGAAAACTGCTGATCAAAGTTCTTGACTAGGCCATCGAGTAGACGACAGCCTTCTGCTACCCATAATTCTTGAACTGGTGTTACACATTTACTTGTTAAATATATATAAGTATATCGTATATAAATGAAAGAGTATCAGATTGATTTGAATTGGTTACATGGCAATGAAGCATCAAGTTTTTCTTCACGCGCTTGAGTTTTGAGGTCATACTTCCCTTTCTATTATTTTTATATATATATAATATATATCTGAAAGTTGTGGGAGAAAAAAGTATTTTTTTCAAATTTGATGACATTCTGTAAACCTCGTGTCTTTCTACAATTTGAACATGATAAGAAACCATCACGTGTTGGGGTCCTTCTGTCACACACGTTTCTGGGTTACACTGCACAATGAATCAAATATTCAAATACAATATACTTCATAAACATATAGTTTTTGATTTACAGTCCTACAGTTTACTAGTCCTATGCCACCTTGCTAATCTCCCCCTGCGTGTGTGCTGGATATTTAATGTGTCATATACTATCCATGAGAAGTTTTAAAACTTGGTAGAAATTTTCTTATACGAACTATCATTGATTTTGCAATAAATATAAGCTGATGGATCGATTCATAGGTTTGTTTAAAGCCGTACCATTGCGCTAAACCGCGAATCGTCATTGCAATCTATCAGTGTACAGCCGTAGGCGGCAGGCAGGAATAGTTTCGCCTGGTAGTTAGCTATATGTACTTGTTAAGGCAATTCGAAAAATCATAAACAAATTATTAAGTTTTTAGTTCAAGTTTAAAGTAATTGATTCAAATAATACAGGGTTGATTGATTTTGCCATATTTCTTATACTGTCCTGTTGATGTTCGTGTCTCAAATATATTTTTGGCCATGAGCCATTATAATGAAGCATACAACATCATAGGTATTTGACGAGGCCACTGGTTTGTCTTTTGATGTTTTAAGCATGACGCAATGTGCTTACATTTTATTTACAGCTATTTACATATGTACAATTACAATACTTTCACTCGTAACTTACAATTCACATGTCGTCCCAGGACTGCCTCTCCAAACACAGTCACACTAAATTTTATCATATCGCACACGTGGACCACGCACAAGATACTGTACCCAAGTAATTCTCAATCAACATTCCTCCCCCCAAAGCGTCAACATTTCCAATGCTCTATGAATCAAATCACTTCACTTCATTTATATTTCACTCCTATTTTAAAAACAAATAAACAACGTCGGACCCTCTAGGCACTCTCCGGCACAAA